CGTCGCTAGTGGAAGCGAGGCGGCACCGGAGGGAGCAGAGCCGCATAAGCCGATGCCTCCTCTATAGGGCCGGCTCCTGTCACAGGCGGAGTAATACCAAATGCGCTCCGCCTGTGAGGAATCGATAGGGAAAGCGCGCTTCGCTCATTCCGGTTACCAAATTGCTCTTGAAAAGGTACGGCACCCCTGATCACCCTATTGTTAACTTTGCCATTTTGGATTATTTAATTTGGATTTGCATTAACTTCAAATTGTTATACATTTTTTTTAAAAAAGACCTTCCCCAAAAATAAGACTTAGTGTGTTTTTTTAAGCCAAAAAAAACTTAAGACAGTGTCTTATTTTCGGGGAAACACGGTATGTCTTCGGTATACTGAGTTGAATGATGCTGGGCAGCACTTAAACTGGCACTTAGATCAGGAGTTTAATCTAAAGAATGCATTCATATACCGTAACCATTAACAGAAATGTATCTTATTTGTGTATCACTCGGCTGTGGATCCTACAATCATCTCTGAATTGGCGCTGACACTGTCCTTCCTTCTGCAGGGGGGCTACATTTGTGCCCCATGGTCCCTGTGTGTGTTGTAAAGTAGTCACCGCTCCAAGCTCACTCTTGTGATGACTACAATCTCAATACAAATTAGTAAACTAAATGTGAGATTGTAGTCCATCCCGGGAGCGAACTTCACAACACACGCAGGGACCATGGGGAACAAAAAAGCTGAGTGAGTGATAAAGCCGAGTGATGCACAAATAAGATACATTTTTGTTAATAGGGTACTTGAATGCATTTTTCAGATTTAGCTCCTCAGTTTAGTGTCACTTTAAGGGATAGCAATCATATAAACTTCAAATTTATAATGTGTCATGGGAAAAATTTGAAAAAACATTTAATGCGTGTTTGCCAAAAACAGGAGTAACTGTCACAAGTTTACGCTTACCTCCAAGGACAGACTGATACTTCACAGGATAGGTATTAAATCCACAACAGTAGAACCTCTGGTATTATCAAAGAACTGAATCTGAACTTCAATGACCCAAGAACTATAAGTGGTGAGCGTCACATAGCTGGATTTATGGTGGATCTGCTATTCAGTAAAGAACATGTCCATGGCCAAAAAGGCACATAGCTTGGTATACTGGGCACAAAACCTAGACCTTTGATCAATGGAAAAAAAATCAATATGGTCTAATGAGTCATCTTTCACCCTATATCTTACTTCCAGGTACGTTTATATGGATATTTGTTCATGACTGGTAAACATAACGGTGAACCTTAAGCTCTAACTCCATCTAAAAGTTTTAAGTTTGGTCATGGGTCCAGTTTAGGTTTTAATGCTGTCTGGGTTACCCTTTCGTCATTACTGAATTACTATTATAAGAAATATATATATATATACACTGAGTGGCCAGATTATTATGACCACCCCATCATCAGTACTTCGTTGGGCCGCCTCGTGACTCCACGAGATGGTGAAAGGTGATGCGAGGAATCTAACACTGCACTGTTGCCCTTCTGTTGTCTTGTACCAGTCTTGCCCCTCCCCCGTTCTGCCCTAACATTGACTAGTCGCTGACGGCCACAATTCGCAATGACAAACTGTCATGTTGCTTAGTATTGTTACCTGAAGAAGAGAGATTCACTCTCCAAAGCTTGTCTTTTATATATTTTGTTAGTCCAATAAGAAAGGTATCATTGCACACTGCAATACTGAGTTTTTGTCTTTTTTGACATCTTGTCTACTGGACTAATACGGCTTACCCATTTATATTGCACTATATATATATATATAATCTGACAAGTATTTCAGCTCATCCCCATGTTATATTATTTTTGAATGTGTCACTGTTGGAAAGATTTTCTTGGTGACCACCACCACTGAGATGAGAAATGAGGGGAGATTTCCTCAAATGGGCCACAAACAGCAATGAAAACCTGATGAAGATTTAAATTTTTTCTATTTCTATTTAATGCATAAATGGCTGGAGATGTTCTTTATTAGTATCTGCAGCTATCCAATGGTTCAGTTCAATCCTATAGGTACAGTTCAATGAAATTTCTGGAAAGGAAGTCAACTGTGTATCAAACAATTCCACCCCAGTACCATCCTTATTGGACATTTCTGAATTGAAGTTTTGAAAAAAAAATTAATTTGCAATAATTAGTTTTTTTGTTTTCTCCTCCATGAAACTGGCACAAAAAAATAAATCTGGACTATCAACCCATCCCCCTCCCCCCAGAATATTCGGGATATAATGTAACTTAGTCTAGAAGGGCCCTATTTGAGAGTAATACCTTAACCTATTGTCCTACAGCAGCCAGCTGCTTTCTTCTTCTCTTGATATCATCCTGTTGGCTGGATGGGAAGCAACACAATAGGCCTCAGGTTACTTTAATTGACAGGTGACAGGTCATTACTATTGCAATTGATGCAGAAGAAACCTGCTGTTGGTGGATGTTCACTCTCTATAAGTTCCCCTCTAGACAAAACAAATAGGGGACAGCCAGAATTTCTTTTTGGGCCAGCCCAGAGTTGAACTTGGCATGTGAAAAGATACTTTTTTGTCCTGTATGAGAATTTCAGTAGTAAAATGAGACATCACTGGAGCACAAGACTCAGAGTCTTTAGAGGAAATGTGTAGTCACTCCAATTATTTTTAGGAATGCTTGTAAAATAAATCACCTTAAAATAATAAATAATCTTATCAATGTAGGTTTATGTTTTAAATTTTTTTTTTCAATGTATAGTTCAGAATTATTCATACATGGGGAAGCCATATTTATTTTACATTTGAGACTCTGCTTCCTTCTTAGCATTGCTGTACAATGGATGTGCTGTACTGCTACTTCTCACAATGCAAGTCCATGAGTCGGCCAACTCACTCAAAACGATGCATTGATAGTGTGGCTCAGTGATGTGCGGTACCTTTGGTTCCGGGTGAGGCATTCCCCAGCCTCGCCCCCATCCGGTCCCAGCCCACCAAAGCCCCACCCCCATACGGTCCCCAAGCGAGTGTGAAGGAGGGAGGGAGGAGACAGGGATCGATGGCCTCAGTGGCTTTTTTTTTCTTCTTTTTTTAATTGGACAGCTTGGACCAATGGCGCTTTGCCATTGGTCCAAGCCCTCCACAGAGCTCACACCTCTAACACAGAGCAGGGGCTGCGACAGCTTTTGCCTCACCAAGTTAAGTTACAGACGCAGTGGGGAAGTCGGATGCAGCGCTGCCTGTAATTAACAGGCAGCGCTCCGTACATGACAGGTTACAGAGCGGGGAGGATTTCCCTTCTGTGTAATCTGTAACAAGTGGATCTGAATGGAGAAAAAGCTGTCAGCTTCAGACTTGAAGCTGACAGCTTTTTCCTCCATAATACTAGGTGAGGCTCTACCTCACCTGACCGCACGTCCCTGGTGTGGCTGATGTACTATCCTAACAGATGTTAAGCAGTTAGGTGGGATCATTGTAGAAACCAATCTACCCTGATAGTCAATACCCTAATCTGTATATCTCCCAATATGAAGAAAACCAAACATGAAAATGTGAAAGTCAGATGAAAATTTACTACATGAAAAGCAGTTAAAAATGTGTACCTGTTAGGCCCGGTTCACACATTGGCGTTTTGTAGCACGTTCCTACGTCAAACACCGAAATCCCATTATTTCCTATGGGTATTGTTCACACCTGGGCGTTTTACAAGCCGTATGAACGCGCTACAAAACGCCCTACGCCCAAAGAAGTACAGGAGCTTCTTTGGGGCGTATTTGCCACGCGTATCCATTGGGATACAGCCAGGTAGCCCTCGGAAACGCGCGTTCGTCGCACGGTTTTTTACATCGAATCGCGGTAAAAACGCGTGGCACAAAACGCGCGACAAATGCACATATTCGATAGGTGTGAACCCAGCCTTAAGAATACGTACCCTTGGAGCAAAGCTAATGGAAGTTGTTTGCAAATACTTTTTGAAAAGCAGAACGAGGTTTCTGGGTCAATGTCACTTTATGAAGTCAAGCACTACTGATCATTAACCTGCTAGGTGTTAAAGCCTCACCGAACCCTCTTCTGAGCCCCGGCACCAATCTGTGGACTGTTTTTGCCCAGTGGTCCACAACAACCCAGGTCTGTTATTTTTAAAGCAACACAGAAGTGACTTCACAGAGCAGCTACTAATACTTTGTACTCCAGCAAGCTGGCTAGAATCACCAGTCCAGTAGTAGGTGTTCTGGCAACTGCAAAGACCATAGGACTTTTTTATTTACCCACTGGGTGGGAACTTCTCATGTAGGCCTGTCATGTAAATATGGCTTTACCCAGAAGTCTTTTCTCTCTTTGGAAAGGGTTAATTGTGGTGGAACATGAAACCAGTAACATGTTGTTTTCCCCAAATCCCCCCTTTAAAAAATGCACCCATCCTGCCATTTTATTCCTCTGTGGATTTCACCTTTTGCACATCATTTATTTAAATAAAAGAGGAGGAAACGGTAGACACAGAGCAGGCCAGGGAACAGGAAGTGGCAGTTAACAGGTGGTAGAGGGGACACAATGGACAGACGCTGACACGAAGTTGATAATCCGGGCAGGAAGTCATGTATCGACATGCGCAAGAGTATGGAAAAAAAAAACAAATAAAAATAAAAAAGCAGCAAAATTATAGATTATATATTACAATACAAAAAATACTTACAAACATTACACAGTAATACTCTGAGCACCTGTGAGGTTTTTTTTTGTTATATATATAATCTTGTTGGTCAAAAAATAAGCTTTACTCCAAGCACCATAGTGAAATCTTGTTCACAGATAATTTCGTCTTCTCATCTGTTCAGGACATTTGTTTCCAACGTTTTTTTGTGTGCCAGGCGGAAGGGGAACTTTATCACAAATTTTATTATTTTTTAAATAAAATGTAAATCTTTATATCCACAGAAGAAAAAAAAATAAGAGTCCTGTTTGTAACGCATCTGCATGTGTTCTTTTTTTTTTTTTTTAAATACTGGAGACGTAAGAGCTTTAAAGAAAATGTAAAGAGAGAGACAGCTCTGTATGGGTGAAAGAAGTGGCTCACAATATCCTCTATGTAGATTTTGGTAGGACATTAACACCATTTTATATGTTTTCTGCACGGGAATGGTGTTTTTTTTACCTTTTATTTAAAAAAAAAAGCCTCAAATAATTCTAGCTAAAAAGTCTATGATAAACTCTTTCTTTGGTCATCAGAAGATCCACCCAGCTTTATGTCATTGTCACATGTTGAACCAGGTTCTTTTGGTCTCTTGATCCACCTTGTTGGAGGGGCTTTATTTCTGCTCCTCAGCTGAGCTTCTTCAATACTGGTGTACAGAAATAAATGGGAGGGGGCTTCTCCTTTTCTTTATTTTCAGAAAGGGATACAAATAGGTAGGGGGGATGTCTCTAGTTCTGTTTTGCCTCAGCCCAGAAAACATACAGGTCCCACTTCAAAGCCAAATTTCTGGTTGGGTTCTCCAAAGTCCATGAACATAACGTCTCTCAAAGGAAGCTGATCCACAAGAGGGGTGTGAACCTCTAATACTGTCTTGTCTGTGCCCTTCCTTGCCTGTAGTGGAGGAAAGAAAGCATCATGGTGAGAGTTTGATCAGTCATGCTTTGGTATGTTACAACTAACTTTACCCTATTATGTATACAGTATATACTCTCTTGCTCCTTCATTACCTCCTCCCATGCTCACCTCCAGGATTTCTCCTGAGCATCTGTCATCCTTTGGAACTCCGTACCCCAATCTGTCTGGCTATCTCCTACACTTTTAGGCAATCCCTCAAAGCGCATCTCTTCAGAGAGGCCTATCCCACTTCCACCAAAAAGCTGTTCTTTTACTTTCTCCATCAAGTCATCCCTCACAGATATCACCTTTTTGTATCATGTGCCCCTCTCTTTCAGATTGTGAGTTCTTATGAACAGATCCATCTGAACCCTCTTGTATTGAATTTTAGTGTAACTGAGCTGTCTCCCTTAAATTAGAAGAATTGGGAGAATAAAAAAAACACTGCAGCTTATCACGTAATCACGTAACCACTTATTGCTCAGCTCGCGGTTTTCTCCCAGCAAAGTGCAGTGACTGTCAGTCATTGCTCCCCACAGGGTTTCCCCTCTGTGCCTCTAGCGCTAATTGGAGGGACAGACAGGGGAGGGGGTGGGCACAGCTGACTCTGGCTCTAGAGTGGTAGAGCCATCTGTCAATCAGGCAGCGGAGTAAATCCTAACAATATTGTCAGGATCCTTCCTGGCTGCTCCACGACTCTGTGCTGTCATCATGTAGTGGACAGTAGGCCACTGGTAAGAAAGCAAAAGAGAGGGTGCCTTTCCTGGTGCAGATAAATCTAATTCAGATAGTCATAGTATAAGAAAGGTACTCACAAACATGATAAGATAAAAGCCATAAGATGGTGGGTAAATGGCAGGCAAGTGGACATCAGCAAAACAGTTCCAATGTGCGATCATAGAGATTAACGTTGACGCGTTCTGATGAAGTGGGTGTGCCCCAAAAACGCGTCAACGTTAATCTCTATGATCGCACATTGGAACGGTTTTGCTGATGTCCACTTACCTGCCATTTACCCACCATCTTATGGCTTTTATATTATCATGTTTGTGAGTACCTTTCTTATTGCTATGACTATCTGAATTAAATTTATCTGGTGTCACTACTGTGACTTTGGGTCACAAGAGTTCCTTAGTAAATGTACTCCTGTGACCATTTCAATGTTGAAAGAACATAGAGAACATAGATTTTATATATTGCAGCTTAGGATGTGGTGGCTCCATATTTTTTTTTGTCATGTATTTGCATCTGGTGATCCCGCCAGTAATGCATTTCCTATGCTGACAACACTCACAAAATGTACTGTATCTATGGAGGAGCAGCATTGCCACTCTAGGTTGCTCACTCCTGATCTGGACTTCAGTATACATTTTCCCTCACTATCAAAGAAGCTAGATCTACATGCGCAAGGAACCCTAACGTGACCATTCTGTAGACACAGCTGCATCTAAAATTCTCTACTTGCAACTTTGTAAAATTGAAAACATTTTTTTATGTAGTTAGAAAAGGATGTGCTGGAGTAAACAGTCTGTGCTCATGCAAAGTAACAATCGGCATCTGAGTAATTTACCCTAAATCCTCATTAATTATAACTTTGATCCCCACCCTCCTAACCCTTTGCACCATCACTCATAGACACAACTTCAAGAAGGTTGTGCAACAACTGTATGTGTTTTTTGTAGATACATTGTATGTGCCCCTTTACTCACCGCACAGCCATCTCTGAGGGCCTTGATGTATGGACTTGTGTGGAAGGAGAGATCCTCATCATTGGAGCCCATGAAGTGCAATGCCTTTTGATAGGTGTCACCCGAGGCCAGGTGCCAGGCAGCAGAGCGATGGCAGTGATAAGTGAAGTTCTGACGAGCACCCACACTTAGCAGGCGAAGGAAGGTTAATTGGACAACTCCAATGGGGTTATCGTCTAGGTCCACATAAGAGAACTGCAGGAAATGAGAAACAAACATCAATGAGGGAACATCAGCAGAAAGTGTCAATGTGATGTACTCTGCAAAAGCAAAAAAATCGAATTATGATGTGTTGTAACAAAGAGCTTATCACATGTATGGGACAATGGGATCCTGATCACTCTCTATTACTATCTGAGCTATGACAATGCCTGGGTGAGGGGGGGGGGAGTAGGTAAGTTTCAACTATATCGGAAAGTGATGAAGCCTTACAGGTCAGAAATGCTCAGGAGTTAGGTGAAGCAGAGAGGACAAGGGGGCTGCTGAAGGTATGTCTGCACCTTATGCATGTTACCAGCTTAGATTTTTGGGGGGTTTGTTTGGTATACTTTAAGTTCAGATAATGAAAGGAATTTTTCAAAATGGTAGTTAATGATAATAATGAATGAAAACTGTCAAAAAATTACAATTTTACGAGAAACTCCTAGGGGCTATTTATAAACTATTTGCAGGGCCCTTCGCTCTGCAAATATTTGTTTTGTGGGAATAATGGCAAAAACAACCATCCTTATTATATTTTAATTTCAGTTTGAATGTATTGTGATGTAATACAGCTTTATCGCCACTAGATGAAGCTGAGGGACTGGAAAATAATTATTTCCTATGCTCATCAGTGGTCCAGTGGTCCACTCATCCAGTGGTCATAATGCAGTATTACATCAAAATAAATTTGACTTGCAAAGCAAAAAAGGAACATTTGTTTTTGACATTATTCGTACACAGCCAACGATCATATGTTCGCAGGGCGAATGGTCCTATGAATCCCTGTTTGTGTTCATGAGAGATATAGTTGTGTTTTCTAAAATACCCAAAATGCTCACATGACAGCTTTCCTAAAATAATAACTGGGGTATTCATTGACTTTTCAAACACCTGAAGGGGTAAAATGCACATGTCTACAAATGGTAATGTAAAAAGCATCTCTTAAACATAATTTTTCTCTTACCCTACTACCACTCCTGAATTTGCTGTACCAAGTCTCTTTCTTCTCAGAGCTCCAGGGAGACATCTTCACCTTAGTGACAAAGCAAAGTTAGTAAGCATTGTACGTTTCTGACCTCAGCAGTCACCATTAAATGGAATGTTTAGTCTTTTAATTTTTATCAGACTTAATTGCAAAAGAGCCTGGTGATAACATTTCTACGGTAATGTTTCAAAAACCTTGTTCATGTGTATAATTTGTTAATTATACATGTCTATGAAGGACAGTCATATTTCCTCATTACATATACATTGTCTGCTTCCTGTTTTGCAATGCTGTACAATGGTTGTGCTTTACTGATCCTTCTCACAATGCAATTCTGTAAATTGGCTGTTTCACTAAAAACAATGCCGCCCCTCTGTGGCTGAAATAATCTCTAAGTAGCAGTAAAGCAATAATCCTGAGGTTTTAGGTGGCCTGTCTACTCAGCCTCCAGTGATGTATTTAGAAAATCTCTATGTATAATGAAGTTATTGAAAATTATATAAAACGTGAAACTAGCACAAAAATAATATTCTAGCATTGCAATGACGACTCACATAATGACTGAAAATATATTATAATTTCTAGGGATGCACCGATACTAGTATCAGTGCCGATGCCGGGTATTTGGGCGAGTACTCAATACTCGCTCAAATGCTCCGATGCCTAGCCCGATACTTCGGGTATCAGGAAGCCGGGCAGCGCGTCATTACACTCTGTCCGGCTTACTGATTGGCCGGGAGGCCGGCTCCATGCTCCGTCGTCACTTGTGATGAGAGAGCATGGAGCCGGCTTCCCGGCCAATCAGGAAGCCGGGCGCCGTGTAATGATGCGGCACCCGGCTTTCTGATTGGCAGGGAAGCCGGCTTCATGCTCCCTCGTCATGAGGTGACATGGGAGCATGGAGCCAGCTTCCCGGCCATTCAGGAAGCCGGGTGCCACGTCATTACACGCCACCCGGCTTCCTGATTGGCCGGAAAGCCGGCTCCATGCTTACTCGTCACCTCGTGACAAGAAACATCGGGAAGCGGGGTGGCGAGTCTTTACACGCCGCCCGGCTTCCCGTCTATTTATGAAGCCAGGTGGGGAGTCATTACACACCGCCTGGCTTCGTGAATAGGACTTCCGGTACTCAGTATTCGGTATCGGCGAGTACCGGAAAAAAAATATCGGTACTCGATACCGAAATACCGATATCGGTGCATCCCTAATAATTTCCCTTTTAAAACATCCTGCTTACCTTCTCGATGCGCTTGCTGGGGAAGATGCAAGACTCGGCCCCTGCAGTGAAGTTACAGAAGACCTTGAAGGAGTCCCGTGCGCAGCCCTTGTTTGGATCGATCCAGTATTCACCTAGGAGAAGAGGAAGTTTTAACTATGATGCACCACGTCTTGTAATACAGAAACGTTTTAGTTGTTTTAGAGCTTTCAGAATTCTGCTTGGCTAAGTAAGAAATATTACATGTAAATAATTAACTTTTTCTTTTTGAACCAGCAGGTGGAGCACTCATCTCCTTTTCATGTGTCTTCCTGGACCTCCTTATCTGCTATGCTGAAAAAAGTTCAGTGAAGGGCTCAATAACTCAACCAAGCTCAATACACAGAACTAATGAGTCAAAGGAGTGACTTCTCCCTCATCCTCCCTTCTCTCTTGCTGACTACAGTAAGCTCTGTCTGAAGTTTCAATGGGGTGGGGCTTTGTACGGCAGGGGCGGGCTTCAACCAATGGGGCGGGACTTTGGCCGGAGGGGGCAGGGCTGGGGAATGCCTCACCCGGAGCAAGAGGTACCGCACGTCACTGATATATATACATTATATACAGTATATAGACTTTTTTTAATCTTAGTCAATGATTGCATAAACATTCCTATAACATTTTAGCAGTTTCGTTTTTAGAAGTTTAGCCCTCACGGAGCCATTCCTTGGTTTTACACACCATCTGGAAGATCTGGATTGGACAGTTGAAGGTCCTGGCATGTCCTAGCCGGGTGTTCCTTTGTACCCTTTGGTGCCTTGATTGACTCAATGTCCTTCTTTATAGCATTAAGAGAGCCATAGATTTCCTCCATGCCATCGGTATACTCCACGGCCGGCTCTTCTGCCATAAACTGACTGGCGTCAATGGAACGTTTGTTTTTCTTGGGCATCTGGAAGGGCAAAGGCTGGATGGCTTCCCCTGGTGGGCCCTGATTACAAGGAAGGGACAGTTAGCAATAAAATCCAATTCACTCTGTATTCCATAGCAATAAAGCATATTGACCACATTTTCTATAAGACATTTTAATAATTATTCATAGACCTATGTACATGGAGGCAGCCATATTTGTTTATTACATATGCAGGCTCTGCTTTCTACTTTTCAGAGTTACACAATGGGTAAAAGTAGAGGCCTTCTCGGGTTATCTTATCTAAAATAGTTTTAATTCCCCAAAAATGTGATTTGCTTTAAAAGGTTGGCCAAATTATGAATTAATAGCACTTTTACAAGTTCTGTTGAATTGTTATCATAAATATATTTTCATGTTAAGTGTAGGCATTCTAAGCAATGTACAGGTATATATAGCTGGCCATATAGTGGTGCTGAATGGAAAAAAAATTGATTTCCTCATCCATGCCAACAGTGTGGAATGGGAATCCCCCTACCCACACCAATCTATTGTATTCTGACAGTGGAGGGTATGTTGCTGTCAGAATACTTGAACTGAAGCTGATTAGCTGCAGTCACTATTCGGCAAAGGTTTTTTGGACCTGTTCCTTTGACAAAAGTTAACTAAAAACTGGGCCACAGACTGGTCAAATTTCACCCAAGTCAACAGGACTAGATCACATTACCCCCTCTGATAATGCCTGAATCTGCTCTTCTGTCCAGGAGGGCAGAGTAATCTTTCTTCACACACTGGCCAAGATCTCCATCCTTTTTTGGACCAACATGCTAGCTTAGAGATGACACCGTTCTATGAATTCTGGTGCCTACCCAATTCTTGGGTGTGCTTGCACTTCTCTGACACAGATCAGCACCTGCTGCAGCCTATTTCCTTGTGATTTATTACAAAGCTACAATCTACAGTCTGATCATTGGAGAAGAGACTGAGTAAATGCTTCCTCCTGCCTGCAGCTAACTAATCACATGATCTCAGCCAGGGAAAGTGACTAACTGCAGCTCCAGGATGGCTTTTTACAAAACAATTTGTTTAACATATAATAATGTTGCTGTATATTGTGACATGTCAGGTCAGGAATTTTTACCTCCAGGTTTGTAAAATTACTGAAATGTTCACTTTTATAGGTTATATAAAGAGATTTAAACAACATTAAGAGCTATCATAAAACATTTTTAGACTGCACTCCTATAAACGTGTACAGAGAGTCTCAACTACGATGTGAGGGTCTCTGTCATTCTGGATATTTCCTGTCTGCCTTCTCCCGATAATACATGTACTTTATGTTACTGGTGTGAGGTCTTATGGTGGTATTAGGTCTTATATATAGGTTGTTATTAATCATGCATAACTCTCAGGTTGGAGAATCGCATTTATGTGACAAACTCTCACTTACCGGAGCTCCAGGAGGACCTTGTATACCCTTCTGTCCCTTGGGTCCAGCTTGTCCCTGTGTGCCATAAAAAAAAAAACAGTTTAGGATACCTTGGTATATAGGGGTACACTGAGAAAATGTGAAAACACAATACGTATTATGAAGAGGTGTCCATAGACATAGCATACTATTGTAACCTTTATTACAGCATGAAAAGTATAGTGTTTACAGGCTGGTTATATATGAAATGTAGATCTGATCCATATGAATTGGAGGCTGGAACATCTTACCGTGGCTCCTTTAGCTCCCTTAGGACCTGGAGAACCCTAAACAGGAAATATACATAAAAGAAAAATGTAAATGTAATAGACATAAATAAATAGATACATAAATAAATATAACGTATCTATACAATCTATGTCTTCCAGGCAACAAGTAAAAGGCAATCACCGAGCTCCTACCCATGAGGCATTCTAAATCACAAAGTCCACCCGACTTAACTTTATTCTATGCTTTTTAAATCTCATTCATCCATATTCAGTAATCTACTCACCTGTGTTTCTGGTAACAATTGTAATCTCTTGTCACATGACTGTATTTATGTAACCTCCCTCTCATGCTGCAGAGTGTACATGGCAGTGCGGTGTGGTCAGATAGAGGGCAACGGTCCAGTGACTAAACTTAGCTAATTCAGAAACAGATCACAAGGCAGTGAAACAGTCTGAACAGACTGCTAACAAATCCATTAGTATGCAGGCACACGGTGGGTTTGGTGCAATGAGACTTGCTATGCACTGTTGTTCTGCTCATGTCTGTCTCTTACTGTGTAACAACCATACCTTCTTAAAGGTGGCATGTTCTCTAGAGCCTTGGTTCTCAGCTGGTGGGTCGTGACCCAAAAGACCCATGTAGCCGCATGCCTTCCACTTTTCTAGGTGAGAGGTTCCTCAGCCTCCACCTAACGCAGCTGTTTGGTGCCAAGTGTTAGCTTGAGATGGGGTGGGGTGGGCTGGGAGTATAGCCGCGAGGGAGCTCCATCCATACATGCATTGCTTACAGTTTCCTTGCATGTCCTGTAGAGGTGCCTGGACCAGAGTGACATCACATTCTGGCTCCCGACACCTCTACAGGGCACGTAAGAGAGCTGTACCAGCAATGCACACATGGATGGAGCTCCGTCAGAGCACAGCAGCCCACACTGGACCCCAGGTTAAGGATCCCCTCCAGTTCTCGTAAGGTAGGGAGAATGGGTGGATCTTAAAAAAAGGAAAAAAAATGTTTTCGGAGTGTGTGTGTGTGTGTGAATGTCTGTGAGTGTGTGAGATTGTGTCTTTTGGTTAGGTTTGAATGTGTATGTATGTCAGTGTTTTTGAGGGCCCGTTCACACCAGTACAGTGCATTAATAGCACAGTCCCGTGCGATTAACGCACTGTATCACGAAATCGCACCTACTGTCCATTTCGGTGTGGGAGGTGTGTTGCATTTTCCCATTCATTTGAATGGTACCCCAAACGCACCTCCCACCCACAGTTTGTACATCCGCACCGGAACGTGCGGTACGCTAATGCTGTGCGTTCCATTGCAGTGTGACTTGGGTCGCGACTTAATGACCAAGGACAGATGTGGGTCCTGATGTTACACAGGTTGAGAACCACTGCTCTAGAGTGAGTCAAGATTTGGAAAGGACTATGAGATTCCTTTTTTAATTCTGGTTCTCGCAAATCAGAATCCTCTCAGGTTGCAGCAACTATAGGGAGTTAGTTTCTGGGACAGCTTGGTGCATAAAGATGGAATTATGAGGGGCCAAGTCAGTTTGAATAGGAAATTTTCATATCTGTCTGAAGTGTATCTTTAGGTGTATCCTGTAGTCTTCTACTTCCTGAAACCATAATTACTCCACATTTGTCTATGATTAGATATTTGGAAGTGGACAAAACCTGTTTGGTTTTCTTCAAATATATCGACTCACATTTAAGGAAAAAGTCAATCCTACTTTTCTCTGAATATTCTTCAAGGAGAACTATGGGGTTAGGGCTTTTCCCCATAGGTCTCCTAAGGGTAACGGGAGAACACAAACTAGCGTCCTCCCATCACCCAAAGCTCAGTATAGCTCGCGGTATACTGAGACGCCGGAACGGATCCCGACAATGCTGTCTGGATACACCCACCTGCGTGAGTGACAGCTGGCTCTGCCTATCTAGAGGCAAAGCCAGCTGTACCCGCCCCCTCCCCCGTCCGTTCCGCCAGTCAGCGCTGGAGGATCGGACAGGGGAGGGGGGAATCCCTGCAGGGAGCCGTGAGTGACAGTCACGGCTCTCTGCAGGGATAGATCAAGAAGTGAGCAAGCGACGGTATGTGTTCGCTCACTTCCCGATCTACTAAGCCGACCTGTGACAGTTTCATTGTCACAGGTGGGCTCAGATTATGAGGCTGAGTGAAAATCACTTGCCTCATAATTCTCCTTTAATTCTCGATCTCTAACAAATATGAATTACTTTTCAATATTAGACCAACAAACTTACAGGAGAGCCAGCAGATCCACCTGGACCGATAGGACCAGTGACACCAGCAATACCCTGTGGAAGAAAGAGAGGCAGGGTCAAAGACAGAATAATGGTGCATGCATTGAAGAAACGCTTCATGATTACACCAGAAGATTCCTTTGAAATTATAATTAATTACTCACAGGCTCTCCTTTCTGTCCATTTGACCCATGTGGCCCTGGAAGGCCTCTGTCTCCTTTATCTCCTTGCTCTCCAGTAGGTCCAATAAGACCGATAAGTCCAGGGTGACCCTAAGGGAAGAATGGAACATATATTGGTAAGATCACTGCAGAGAATTGTAACAGTGGCAAAAACTTATGTTTGCACCATGACATCTTCCAAGCATACTCTACATATCATCATACACACCATAACATGAGGTTCTTACCTTCTCTCCTTTAGCTCCACCATCCCCCTTCAAGCCTGGCAACCCAGAAGGTCCCTGTGGAAATACCAGTTTAAAATATAGTCTCCTGAATTACATACTAATATAACAGTATGGAAATTCATACAACACACGTACCACTGGACCTGGTGGTCCGGCTTGACCTGTTGCACCAGGACGGCCTTGTTCACCCTGTAATGAAAGGAGATGTAAGAACAGCTTTTTGTTTAGCATCATATATACATATATATAAGTTGTACCCCCTTTCTATTGCTAAGCAATTTCTGATTTTCTTGTTCTACACTGAACTTCAGTAGAAAAAGGAGCTCAATAAATGTTTCATCTGCTTTTAGTTGACCAAATGTTCATTTTTATTTATTGAAGGATCTGCAAAAAAATAATGCTTAGGCCTAAAAACAGCCAATTAGCTTAACGCTTTGCTGGAAATTAGTGAAGAAATTAAGCTTGATTTGGGTACTGCCAGGCAATGCAGATAAATTGATAAATGAGGGATACCATAATATCATTGGTGAGATCAGCAAGCTGGTCCTAAATAGAAGTTAACGACCAATAACAGTCCTGTCAAGTCGGTCCTGATCGTGTAAGTCTATGGTCAGAAGATAACCATAACAGTTATTGTGTGTCCAGACTATCAAACAGTGATGGGCCCAGGTGATTCAGATTGCTTTCCCCAAATAGTCCATCTTTTTCACTTTGGGCAGTCATGTATGAAGATGTGATAACTAAAGTAGTGGATGAAGGGATACAGGTCCTTTACATGAGTGCTCCCTTGGCCTAGATGATAAACCTCCAGAACATTTGACAATCAAATAAACACATTTCCCCATTAAAGGAGATCCCACCAGGATGGGATCTCCTTTAATGGGGAAATGTGTTTATTTGATGTAATATAGAAGACCCACCGCTAGAATATATATTGTTGATATTTTGAGATTGGGACCCTACTTCCCTATATGTATATATATAACATTTGGCAATCCATGAGAATGACCACGTATGTGGGAAATGTGAAAACGTGGAACCTTTTTATGCCCGGCATGTCCTTAGAGTTTCATTTGCTTAATGCGACACATTAAGCAGTTGGTGCGTTCATAGTTCTTGGTACACCACTTTACCAATCCCTCCCCACCCTTTCCCCCCACATGGCATTGCTAATGTCTGGTGGATGTTTAAAGCACTGGATTAAAGGATAAAGAGAGGAATGTACAGGTGTGCACCATGCCTGCCTACCCCAGGGCTTTTAACAGGGCTACTGCAAGAGCGGGCAGTGCTGAAAGGCCTAGAACTATCATAGTGTCTTCTATACAGCATTACTTTTACCTTGGCTAGCTTAGGTTTGCTTTAAAACATGGGGTCCCTGATCGTGATTTATCTTCTAGCTATAAGTTACTTAGCTACCTCTAAAATAGTGTTATTAGTATGGTATATACTAGAAGACTTCATTAAAAAGAGCCAGGGGACATATGCTTTCATTGATAGCAATGGAAAGGGCTGCAAAAGGTGCAAGTTATAATATTTAAGCTTCCTTGCACCTTAATCTGTATGCTTTATGTTATAAAACACCATAATTTATGGTAAATTGGGTTCCATGACACAAAAAAATGTGGACACTGATTTAGTTAGTTAATTATGTAGGTCTAGACTATTTTGCTCGTATACTGACTTCCCTTAAAGAGGAACTTTACCCAGATCTTCAATATAACAACAAAGACACCTTTAGAAATGTTTAGTAATGACAATCTATTAAACACATACTTAGATAATTGCCGGCTTTTTATTCTTTGCATACATTTTCCTTTTCCTCCCCATTCTTCTCACAGTGGCCATTTTTACTAAGGGCAGGTAAATCCATCTCCCTTTACTTCCTGGGACTCTGGCACATATGACTAGGACATGTGACCATGCACATCATCTCAGGGGAGGAAAATGCCTTTCCCTGAGATCTCATGAGATTACAGATTACATTTCCCAGCAATATCCAAAAGTAAGGAAAATGTTTTGGTTTTACAATATCCTTAAGGGCAGATGCAGACCTGTGCGATCCCGGGACCGCGCAGTAGTCCATAATTGTATTCAGCGATCGTCGCGCAGCCCCATTCATTTCAATGGGGTTACATCCGCGCAGCAATCACAGAAAAAAGGTGCATGTACCTTTTTTTGCAACACATGATGCGCAGCTGTTTTAGTTGCGCAGGCGGATTCGCAGCGGGAAACCATGCGATCCACCCGGCGCGACTGGGGTTCCATTAGCAAATGGTAAGTGTGACCCGTACAATATTTGAGTTCTACCAATGTGTATTGCACACACAACATTTTATGGAGCATTTCACTCACCACAGAACCAGGCAAGCCTCTCAGTCCTTCAGGACCTTGTTTTCCTGCAGTTCCCTGAGGTCCAACAGCTCCTGTCTTTCCTTGAGGTCCCAAAGCTCCATTCTCTCCCTGGAATTAATTATTGCGACAAAGAGATGAGAATTTTATATAGATGTCAGTAAATACCTTTTTTATATAATAAACATATAATAAAACATATACAATAAACACATTTGCACAAATCATCTATCGTAGGTAAAATTATGGTAAAAAATGGTACCTTAGCTCCTTTTTCCCCTCCACGTCCTTCAGGACCAGGTGGACCAGCAGGGCCCTGAAAGAAGAGCAGAGATTGAGACCCAACAGCACAAAAAAATGCAGATTATCAGAGGAAAAATAATGATAGGTTAAGTGGTATTTTTTGGTATATGGTACTTGTAATTATCGTACATTTTATATGGTAGATTCTTGCATAAAATCCAGAAGATATAAAAATGTCTAGGGTGATCGATCTGAAGAAGACTATAACCAGGACAAATGGTTCAGAAAATATGAGTATAAAGATATGATGAATATCTACTTACTCTCTTGCCAAGAGGTCCAGGGGGTCCATTCTCACCAGTTGGACCAGGAGATCCCTAATAAAGAAATTAAGAGAAAATTCCTATGATGAAAACATGAACTATAAACACCTATAAAAGGGATTGCACAGATAGATGTCTAATGGATATCGCTTATTAAATGTTTAATATAAAATATGTTTCTATAGTTTATTAATATCACCTCTATGAGCTGTGGAGATTGCACAAGCAGTATGTCTCCAACATATTTCAGTTCATTATCATATGTGCAGAGTTTAATCATTTATTATACATTAAATAGCAAATGTATACATTTTATATAATTTTAGTTTTGCTGATTGATTGGGGTTTCTGTTTTATAAATGGTACCCAACATGTTATTTGTTTACTCTTCCCAATATTTCCTTTGTCACTTACCGCCTCTCCTTGTTCTCCATCTTCTCCTCTTTCACCCTTTGCGCCATCTTGTCCCTGTTAGGAAAAAGCACAAGCGAGTCAACATTTAAAACTAAATATCATTTTCCTATGAAAAGTAACACAATACTAAACAGTGTTCCATAAGTAAGATAAGACCTCTTGTAGGCTTCTGTGGTAGGCAGAGGCTTCCTTTAATACTACTGGTGCAGACTATTGCGCCAGGGCCCAGAACTATATTGGTACTCTAGTTGCTCAGTCCCTCAACTTCTATCTATCTTTAATGAAGACATATACATCCTTTAAAGGAAACCTGTAGTAAGGCAGCATGGAGGGTTCCATTGCTGAACTCTCCTAATTGTTTAAACTAGTCTATCCAATAGCTTTAATATTTTGTTAAGTTCCTAACGCAAAGCAAGTATGCAATTTAGAGTTTTGATGTCACTCCTGCTTGTTCCAGGTTAGAGTTTCAAAGTAAAAGTCAAAGACATCAAGACTACTAGCCTTTGAAGAAAAAAGCAAGCATTGGTATTATTCTCAGTAGAGGTTTCCTTTTAGCATTAACTTTTTTATTGTGTTTAATGTAGAGAGGGGAATTATTGAACCCCTTTTTCCATTTCTTTACTTCTGGTTTTAACCTCACCAAGAAGATATACTTCCATATCCAGACCTACATAAACCTCCTATTGCCCGTACTGGACTGGAGTTCATCAGTGGCATGGAAGTCTTAAAGCATGTCCTTCCATGTCATTGGCCTGTAGCAGATTCCTTACAGGAATACATGGGGAATACACACCAAATGGTAACCAGGGAATGTTTGCTCATCACTCTGCCTTCATTGTGATAGCACCACTTAAGGTGGACGGAGACTCAGCAAAAGCTGCCAACCTCTTCTAAAATTGATGTAATCTTGCCATTCTATTGGTAGACCTTGAGGTCAATATCCTTGTATAGTTTTCTTATATAAAAAAGGACCTGAACTATATTTAAAGTGAGCAAAACTCACATTTTTGGAATTGGGCAGTGGTTTGTCACCTCAAAGAAAGTGTGACAAAGAGAAAGTGTTGAGAAATTACTATTATTATTATATAAATATTTCAAATAATGTACCATATTGTCAGGAATAGAGGTGTGGCATCTCGATAACTAAAAGGTTGGTTAAGCCTTTGTCTAAAGTAGTATTGGCAGTAGTATAAGTTGCATATTAGAGTACTTTTCTGAATATCACTAGGGATATTACTTTAATGTTGGAGTTATATAAAGTCCTGTTTGTCATATCTGTCAATAGTGCAACTATCATGTAATAGTGCAGATAAGCGGATAAGTAATCTGCATTACTTAAAAATCAACACTGAATACATTTGATATACACTTTGAATTTAATGACTCCATACTTACTCTAGGTCCCATCTCTCCAGGGGGGCCAGGATCTCCAGGGAAACCTACAGGACCCTAAATAATGACAAAAATAGTTAAAAGTGATCTGAGGTCATCTCGAGATCTGAATTTATTAGAATAAAACACCCATGGTAAACTGAATAAATATTATAAAACATATGCTACAACGTATGCATAGCTGAACAAGTCTACAGTCTTAAATACCACACGTGAAGGCTTCAAAACTCATGTCCCCCAAAAAAAAAAATAATACAGTTGGGACATGTACATATAATTCTGTTCTTTTGCAATTGTGTTGTAAAGCACTGTGGCTTTGCTGTTGGTAAAAATAAAATATTTATCAGGGTCTCATTAATAATAAATAGATATCTTACATATGTTTAGTATACTGTATAGAAAAACTACATAAGAGTCAATGAAACATGCCAAAGAAGTCTGCATGGGTGCAGGTCATCCAAACTGCTTGGCTTAAGCTAAAACACCTTTTTTTTCATATCTCTATAGGTTGAACTCGATGGACAGAGGCGGCTCTAGAGTTTGCGAGGCCTTAGGCGAAACCTAAACATGAGGCCCCGCTCAGGCCTGTGGGGTCTCACCAGGGCTCTGTGGGGTTTAACCAGGCTGGGGAGACCCCACAGAGCCCCAGTAAGACCCCCAAAGAGCCCTGGTGAGACCCCACAGAGCCCTGAATAACCCAGGTCTCTGTAGGGTCTCACCAGGGCTCTGTGGGGTCTCATCAGCCTGGTTAGACCCCCTCAGAGCCCTGGTGAGACCCCCACAGAGCCCTGGTTAAACCAGGGCTCTGTAGGGTCTCACAAGCCTGATTATACCCCTCAGAGCCCTAGTGAGACCCCACAGAGCCCTGGTTAAACCAGGGCTCTGTGGGGTCTCACCAGGGCTCCGAGGGATCTCACCAGCCTGGTTAGACCCCACAGAGCCCTGGTGAGACCCCAAAGAGCCCTGGTGGGACCCTACAGAGCCCTGGTTAAACCAGGGTTCTGTAGGGTCTCACCAACACAAGGGCTCTGTAGGGTCTTGCCAGGGCTCTGTGGGGTTTAACCAGGAATAGTGAGAACCCACAGAGCCCTACTTTAACCAGGGCTCTGTGGGGTCTCACCAGGGCCCTGTGGGGTTTAACCAGTCTGGTGGGACAACCAGAGAGCCCTGGTGAGACCCCCTCAGAGCCCTGGTGAGACCCCACAGATCCTTGGTTAAACCAGGGCTCTGTAAGGTCTCACTAGGGCTCTGTAGGGTCTCACTAGGGCTCTGTAGGGTCTCACCAGGGCTCTGTAGGGTCTCACCAGGGCTCTGTAGGGTCTCACCAGCTTGGTTAAACCCCAAAGAGCCCTGGTGAGATACCACAGGGCTCTATATGGTCTCCCCGGGGCTTTGCTGGGTCTCACCAAGGCTCTGTGGGGTTTAACCAGGGCTGGCGAGACCCTACAGAGCCCAGGGGAGACCCAAAGTGCCCAGTTGAGACCCCACAGAGCCCTGGTTAGACCAGGGCTCTGTGGGGTCTCACCAGCACCAGGGCTCCGAAGGGTCTCACCAGGGCTCTATGGGGTCCCACCATGGCTATGTGCGGTTTTACTAGCCTGGTGAGACCCCTCAGGCCCCTGGTGAGA